GATGGATAGTTCATTGGGTTGATTCTTACTTGAATGCCTTCTAGATTCACAGTTTGGTAATATAGGCATCAGTTCTGTTCTCTTAGACCCTAGGATTCAAGGAATTTATAAGCACTTATATTTCAATCCTAATCAAACGGTGGAGCAGAATAATGTTCCTTTAGTTTTTGTTGTTTTACTTTTTCCTCCACCATTAGATTAAGATCAAACGGTACATGGCTCCAATTTCCTTGGACCTTAAGGCTAAGAGATCGAATGGTATGTGACCACAATTCCCTAAAACCCTAGGGTCTAGGAGAATGGAGTTCATGCTTATATTACGAAATGTGAGTGTAGAACACATTCAAGTAAAAAGAGATGGCCTTAGTATAAGGAGTTTTCTACTTTAAAAGCATAAGTCAAACAAGAAAACGTTAGTGTATGCACTTCTATGATCGTAAATGTGAATGTGGATGTGCCCTACGTGAGACTATATATCATGCATGTGATCTCATGAAATGGGTTTGTGCGACCTAACCATATATTTTGAACCATTCCACCATTTAGGTATGCTTAGCTAATCACCACGTCGATCATGTGCAATTCTGACAAAGCTTCACTTATTAGCTAGCCAGGTTGCGCATTGTATGTTGAGTACATAATACTACAATGGATTAGAATTTGCATATAAAACCTCCATTGATCATATCACTTTCCCCGAACTGCCATATTTGTGCTAGCTTTCCCCATCCGATTGAGATTATTCATTAGTCGCATGCAAGCTAATTTGACTTGTAAACCATAAATTGAAGACTATAAGTGTTATTTTTTTTCATTTTTTTCAATTGTCATTTTAGTGTTGCAAGTCATCCTCTACCGTAATGATAAATATAAGTACTGCTCTTGCACCACGGTATGAGTTTCAAACCCCGTCGATCGTCTCCCTAATGTAACATCTAATCTAACAAATTATTTATCATTTGCCAAAAAAAAAATATATATATCATTTTAGTGTCGAAATCATCAAATAATTTTGTATTGTCGAAATCAATCATTTGTATTTGATAGTGCATGATTCATTGATTATTCATGTTAGCAAGCCATGGAATTTTCAATGTAAATGACCAGTTGACCAATTGACTTACTAAACTTGTTTATGTCATCTCGAACCATTTCGTGTAAAACTTATCACATTGACCATGGTTAGATATTCTGCTATCTTACTTTGCACAACTTTCTATTTTGATAGCTTTTTTAATGGATGATATAGAAATGGAGAGTGAAGTTTCAACTTCACCTCATATAAAACTCTTAAGTTTAGGTTTAAATTGACAGATATCGTTGATGTTCTAACACATTTGTTAAATATCGGATAAACTCTTATATTCCGTCTAAACCTAATGTTTGAAATATCCTGGATATGCTCAATATTTCTACGGAAATATTCAAAAATTTAAGGACTTAATGATGGAGGAGATGAACAAGAATTTGATGGAGTTACATGCTTAAGCACGTTTACTGGTGAGTGTGTCTTTACTTATGCCACCTAAGATGAAGATCGTTGGTGTAGAGAAGTCGGTGTAGGCATTGGTGCAATTGAAAAGTATATGCAAAAGGCCGAATCAAAATGAAAGATTTACTATCAGTTTGAACTCCCTGAGCCTATGCATTCTTTATGGTTTAATTTCTTTATTCATGATGAAAATTTCAATTACTATGTATAATTTATTCGTTTTAGTGAAATGCTTTATTTTATTTTATTACTTATCATTAGAATGAAAACTAGAAAGAAGTTTTCTTTCTCACATGTCACATACTTATTTTTTACACAATATCTGATCATTAATTCATGATTCATCTGTATGTTGTGACCTAATATGACATTCCCTAGACAATAACTTTAAATTTTCATGTTTTTTGAGCAAATTCCCACCATTTCCATCAAGGGCAATCGATACTGATACCGATATATCCATTGATGTTTCTACAAATTTGTATATCGATATTTCCATATATACCGATATTTTAAACACTGTTTAACAATCCCCTAAAGTTTCATTTTAAATTTCAACCATTTCCATCGAAAATAACCGATATTGATATCAATATTTAACATATCCGTCAATATTTCCCCAAATTTATATATTTATGCTTCCACTGATACCAATATATTAAACACTATGGATAACTAGATGAAAAAAAATATAGGGTAAAGTACAAAAAACTACCTCAATTATTGGTGTCACAACACTTTCATACCTCATCTTTTAAAATTGACAATGTCATACCTCATCTTACAAATTTGTGCCAATGTTATACCTTCCGTTAGCTTGGCATGAATTTCTCAATTAAATACTGACGTGACTTGATTCAGGACCCACTTTCTATTAAAAAAAAAATTAATAAAATACTATTAAAAACTAAAAAAAAAAAAAATCATTTAATATTTTTTAAATATTAAAATAATAAAGAAAAGGTAAAAAACAAAACAACCCTTTCCCTCCCTCCATCCCTCCCCCTGTTACAAGCCTGCAACCCAGAAAACAAAAGAAGAAAAAGAAAAAAAAAAAAAAAAAAAAACTTCATCCCTTCCCACCCTCCCCCCCCCCCCCCAACCCCCTGCTGCAAGCCTGCAACCCAGAAAACAAAAGAAGAAAAAGAAAAAAAAAAAAAAAAAAAAAAAAAACTTTATCCCTTCCCCACCCCCACCCCCCCCCGGGGAGGGTCCTTCTTTCTTCTCACCCATCCCCACCCCCTCTTCTCCCCCACCCGAGCCCCTACCTGCAACCCAGAAAAAAAAATAAAAATAAAAAATAAAAAAATCATAGTTCGTCTTCCCCTCACATCCACCCTCCGCACCCACCCTTACACCCACCCCTCGCAGAATCGGCAAAAGGGATCTGGGTTTTTTTTTTTTTTTCCTTCAAAATTTATTGTAAGTAAATAGTACTATGATTAATTTTTAAGAGTAAAAATATTATTTTCGTTGAAAATGAATAGTACCGAAAATATTTTGTTAAAATTTCCTAAAAAAAAAGGGCAGCAAGATGTTGTTGGTTCCTTGTTTAGGGGAAGAGAAGTAAAGGTTAGGAAGTAGCCTTTTTTGGTATTTTCAAAGGCAGAGAGAATAAGGGTTAGCTTCGGTGATAGCACCATTCTTTGGTGTGAAAAAGGTAAGTGGCCTTTTGTTGTTAGAGAAGCAGAGAGAGCTGCCGAGAGCCCCAAACAAGACGGAGCTGCTGCTCCATTTGTCAGCTATCACTCCATCAAAGTTGCAGTTGCTGTACTCGCTTTTAGTTACACTGACTGTGGCGAAACCTCATTAAAATTGTGGTGTCTTTTTTTTTTTTTTTTTTTTTGGTATTTTATTTGGTATAATTCTTGTGGGTTTGTTTGAGTTGGTTTCCAATTGGTTTTGATGTTGTTTTAGTGCAACAAACCCGCCGTCCATCTCCGTATACATCATCAACAGCTCTCTCTCATCGTCTCTTCTCTCTCCGCTAAATCTCCCCACCGTCGTGAATCTGCCGCCTAGCAACCTCCAGATCGTCAGACCCACATCTTCATCCTCCCCTGTCTCAGGTGTTGAATCGGTCAACAGCTCGTGATACCAGACACGAATTCTAGAGCCTAAGCCACAACAGTATACTCCTGATCCCATCGTTGTAAATTCCTGGCTCCGCTAATGCATGTATAGCATTAACCCATTCACTCCTTATCTAGTGAAGAGCTTGCAGTACTATATAGTTTGGAGTTGGATGGGTAAGCATATATTCAACAACTTAGGAGTTAGTTTGGAGTAATATTAACGGTGGGTAAAAAGCAAGTAAATTTGTTCGAATCAGCCAAATCAAAACCAATTTCACTAATTTGTAGGAAAGTTAAAGCTTGCATGCAAAGCAATGACTCCTACTTAAAGACTAGCTAGTTTGGAGCGAGGATAGATAAAAAGTCGGTTCAACTGTTCAAACCAGCCAAATCAAACTAATTTCATCGGTTTGTAGGGAAACAAAAAATCTTGCATGTAAACCGAATGACTTCTTTGACATTGAACAACTTAGAACTCGCTTGAAGTAAAAACAGGGAACGAGCTAGCCGAATTGTTCAAACCATCTAAATCAAACTAATTTCAGCGGATCGTAGAAAAGTAATCAAAATTTATGTATCAAAATATAAAACTATTTAAAACCATCTAAATCAAACTAATTTCACCTCCCTCGTCCGAAACCCATCCACATCATGGCAAAGCTTTTAGTTGTGGAACTAATGCCATCCATTTTTTACAGAAATCCAGACGGTTTACACGATAACAGAAATTTTGGGGTTGACTGGTTTGGATCGAGACATTCCACTAGAACCTACACTTCCCCCATTTGTTTAGATAGAGATTTTGGCCCCCAATGACCTAGAATTAACTAGTTTAACAAAACAAGATAACTTAGGTACAACATTGTATAGGTTGGGTGGCTTGCAAAGCTATGAGCTCTGCTCAAGTTTAGGGTAGGAAGACCATGTATATAATGTTTTTCAAGCATGTCATCCCGTCTCTTAATTAACAGTCATCACAGACTTTCTATGACACTGTATAGGTGATGTGCAAGTGACACCCTAAATTCGTCACATATACTATTACGTGATGAATTTTCAGTGTTCTGTGACGGTTGGCGAGGGTCACCAAAGCCCTTTTTCTTATAGTGAAAGACCATGTGCTTACAATGAATATGTGTCATCAGCTTCAAACGAATATCTCTATTGTTTTTATACCAAGCCCTATTAGTGACCCACAACTCTCAAGTTCTTAAGCAAAATGTTAAAATCTCATCGGCCTGGTGGTACTTTTCTTTTCTAATACAAGTCAAATTCCCTCTGCAGAGCCATGTGAATGTGATATAAAATTTCCTCTGCAGGGTCATAAATCTTATTGTTCTTCTATTGATTTGGATTCGGAGAGGTTAAACAGCACTTAACGAAAGAATAAACTCGTTGAAATTTGGCAGAAGGAAGCTACAATCGAAAAACAATTCCAGAATTGTGATCGAATTTGTATAGGAAACAACATTTACAAGAAGTTAGATGCCCCGCAACTTACTAGGATGTAACAAGGTTTGGTTGGTTAAATACAATTGTTAGATGGCAATCCTGCAGAAACATGGGCCAAGGTACTGTCTGAAACTCATGTTCAATGGTGCTACCCCCAGCTATCAGAAAGAACACGACAATCGGTATATCCGCTCAACACCAGTCATTTCATGTTTCTCAACAAAGATGAGGATTAGAGAATTTGGATAGTTCAATGATTCAACAGAGTAGGAAGGTAACTTAGTTGAAAACCAGGTAAGTTTCTTCATCCTCGAGAATAAACTGGCAACCGTATCACAGATACCTCACCTGAAAAGCATCATCTGTACATATACTTTGAGAGAGGGAACTTAATGCTCCTTGCTACCTGTAATCCAAATATAAACAAGATGTTATGTAATTCAACAGAATTTATCAGCCTTACAGCACAAAATTTTGGTCTAATGTCAATTTGGGAAGTATGTTAAGTTACCTTAAGAGTCATATCTTCACTCACTGTAGATCGATTTCGAGTTGAGCCCTCCAGTGGGCAGCTTCCAGCAGTGACAATAAAATTAGCACTGCAGAGACTGGACAGTAGTAAAAGAACATCAGACATGAGCACGTCATTCCCATCTTGAATGCCTAACCCACCATATTCTTGTTCCTCCTCGTCAAGAGGACCTTCCCCTACAGATGTAATGCACTGAAATATGGCTAACAATCTTTCCATTGGGAATGAGCCAGGATTCAAAAGTAATTCCTGTTCTGCAGTTTCCTTCTGTTCCATTGACTTGTCCGAAAGCCTAACCATCAATCAAGAAGCATTATTTAGAAGAATTCAGTGTTTACAAGAGCTGCACTGCAAAATGCCAAAACAAAAGGTGCAAAAATAGCCAATCTGCAAGTCGCAGAAATTTTTGTTTCCTCCACTGAATAAGTGCGGTAAAAAGATATCGGAATTTTTATCTAGAGGTTTTTCTGCACACGATAACCAGAAAAACTCAAAATATCCGCTGTTACTATAGTGAGGCTATGGTAAAATGGAAGCAGGTGGTTGTTATCTACATGCTTAAGAAAAACTTATATTATAGCTTAGTTGTCTGCAGGATTCGGGAATGTCAGACCTACATTAACTTTTATGATAGCATCAAAAACAAAACTAAAATTTGTACCAGTGTTGCTGATGTTAATCAACTAAACCTATAGAGTATAAACTACTGTAAAAGCAAGAATTATTCTTGAAATAGACTTGCTTCCTCTTTCATTTTCGACTACTAGAATCTCATGTAGATTCGAACAGTGATGAATTAAGGGTAGCTGGATTTCTTGAAGCAAGAAATGCTGAAATAAGAAGATACTTGGCAGAAGTAGGCATCTGGAAATCTAATTGTTCAACTTCACAATCTCCGAATTTCCTTGTGCCGCACTTTCCTTTTCTCTCCTTAACTTCAACTTCAACTTCAGTCGATTTCTGCGATGAAACCTTAAATGTCTCATTCAGTGCAGGAACAATATGGGAGCTAAAAAAATTATACAGCCTTTGGTTCGTCTCTTTATTGGGAACAAAATTCAGATCAGTGATAGGTTCATAATACTTTGTGAATAACGGTGAAAAGGCAGGAGATAATTCATCCACCCGTCTGGTAATTCTACAGAAAGGCCTTAGCGTGACACTAACCGAAAAGAAAAAGTGTTCATCAGTAGAAACACAAAAGGCAAAAGCTGAGTGCAGAGAAGAAAAAAACTATTTTTGTACCTGAGAAAAGAGGCGAAAAGCTTTTTGTTTGCCTGGTTTCTCATGAAGATTTTCTGCAGAACATCTTGTGTATAATCAGGAAGATACATAGGGATAGGCTCCACATAGCCCATATTTGAGTAATACGTATCCGGCGAGGCACTGCTGATAAAGATAAGACCGACCTCAGGCATTTTCAAAATGTCATAGAGATTAAACAGTAAAGGTAATATAATGGAACCTTTATCCCATCCTCTAAGACGCTCCAAATTGTCAAATACCAAGTAGATCATATTTCCATTAGCCTTTCCAGACCTTTACTTTCCCAGAAAGTCCCTTTGTATTACCAAGAATGCTGACCAAGGCTTCCCGAAGAAAATGAATAAAATCAGATGGGCTTTCACAGCGCTTGGCACTTGAATAACCATTCGCTGCATTCTTTGGGTAAAGAAAAAGTTGGTTCAGAACAGATTCAAACAAGATTCGAGGACTATAACAGGTAAGGCAGCTTGAATAAACAAAAGGGTGCTTCAGATGCATAAAGGTCTCTACAACAATACTGGTTTTCCCAGTAGAAGTGCCTCCATATACAAATATAGGTAGCATGGGAGAGTTTGGCAGACCCAAAAGGCGTAGAAGCTCCAGGATTTGACTGCGTCTCCCAGGAAAAACAGACGAAAGATCATTGGCACTCAAGGATTCTCCTTGTTCACCCAACACAAGGTCACTGAGAGTTGGCGGGTGCAAACTACTTGCCTTAGTTTCTTCAACTACATTCTTTGAAGGGGTAGCCAAAACAGAGGATCTGGTTTTTCTCCTTGTGGTTTTTGGGCTTTCCTCTTTACCCATGTCTGAATTCTAGCCAAAAGAAACATCTAGAATAAAGGCGAGAATTTTAGTAGACAACATTGATAACAAACAACTTGGTAATCACACTGCAAACCAACACGAAAAAAGTGGATACACCGCAAACCAGCAGAAAAAAGTGGATACATAAAGAAGTATCGAACTTCAATGGAAATCAGCTTTTCAAATACTTAAACAAATTTGCAAGGAAGTTGCACACATAAACTTACAACCAACCAAACAAATTAAGGAAATAAACATTGAAAATTAAAATTAAAACCAACATATCCCTCTCCAATTACAGTCTTAACTCAATTTCTTCGAAACTTTCACATACACCAATAAAATCTTAATGGAGCTATATTCGACCTATCTACATCCATATACAAGTAAAAGAACCCGAAAAACCAAATACTTGGCAAATAAAACAATGTATTACAATACCCACATCTTAAAATCATCATGTAATATCCAAACACTCCCCTAATCAACTTTTAAAGAAAAATCCCCCAAAACAATTACCAAGTAAATAAATCACCCTCACGATTTGAGTTTTTTAAGGACCAAGGGGGAAAGTATGGCAACGGTATTCATAAAACGCTGCGCATTAGAAATTAAAGAGTAGATCGGGGGTTGAGGATTACCTGATCGGAAAACCCACCGGAAAGTCTGCCGGAACGATGAGAGAAAAGCAGAGGACTGGCAGTAATGTTTCGCGACAGTGATATCTGATTTGAATTGAAACCCTAATAAGGTTCGTTGAGATAACATAGAGTAAAAACCCGGGAAACTTAATTCCCGCCAATTATATAGTGTTTGGGTGTTGGGAGGCCCACCGTGAGTTACAGTGAGCTAGAGGTTCTAATGGGCCCACGATGTTTAGAGGTGCTCCTCAGAGGAGGAATTCATCGGTCCGGACAACAGACCAGATGGTCATACGGCCCCCACACACAAAAAAATCCTCACTCCACTTTGTCCGGGAGCATTTTTACTCACCACCATCAATCTTGATATATGCTTGCTACACACTTAACCAATTGTCACTTGTCCCTTCACTTAATTTTAGTTAATCTTTTTCAAAATTGAAAAAGTAACATTTAATGTGAAAGGTCATTTAGTACAGGGTAATCATCTTCACTTAGAAGTGAGAGGTCTTAGATTTAGGTTCGAATCTCGTGGATGATGAATTCGATATCAAATTAGGTTGCCCACTGTGTAGCTTAACCGAACTCCTCCTGCCCACAATGTATCGATGTACTAAAAAAACATCTAATGTGAAAGTGAACTAGAATTAGTTAAAATGACACGTGTTAATTAATTAAGTATATTATAATTATAGTAGCCAAATCCATGCAAATGATCCAATCATATTAATTTTGGAATTTTTAAGAATCCAAATCAGTAGCCACTTAGTACTAAAATGAGGTCTTAGGTTCGATTCAAATTAAGAGCGTAAATCACATTATTGCTAGCCTATTATAAGACTAAGCTCACTCCACATCCATCTTAGCGTAAATAATATTGTTTATTAATAAAAAAAAATCAAAATCAGTCTGTCAAATCATCGAAAGGGGCAGGATGAATCAGATGGGTCGTTCTTAAAATTTTGGCTGAATGTTGATATAGGCATAATAATGAGCGCCAATAAAAAGCTTTAGCATGACAAAACTTTAATTCTGAATGCACCACTCCACAACAATCACAAGAATTGGTCCTGTCTCCAGCGAAAACACAAACACAAACATCATCATAGAAATAGAAACAAGTAACATGGCTCGCTTAATGCCAAGAGCTCTGTACATCGGCATATTCATGCTGATCGAAAAAGATCATAAGACGGCCATATCTATCTTTTAGCACCTACACAAGTAACACTATCCAGAAACGGAATATATATCAACCACAGTTGGAAACAAACTAATATGCATCTCCCCCCTCCATCACTTCTCTCTTCCTCTCCCTGTGGTATTTTTCGTCATCATCTTAAACCTCACTTGAGGAGCTGCTCCTGATAAAGGATCCCCGGCGGTGGCTGCTCACTATAACGTCTTTAAGACGAGATATGGGACCAATCATCCTTCCTGTTTTCTGTCAACATGATAACATAATGTCAGTGTCATTCAACTGGACTTTCCTCTTAATGGAAGTAAACTCAATCGCATAAGCAAGTTATCTCATGTTCATATCTTAAGAATGCTCATTCGTATTGCGTGTCAGTGCATTCTATAGATTAACAGCAACAATGTTACTTATAATCCCTAGTATGATGTGCAGGCCACGAGTTCATGATAGGGTCAGATGAATGCATCGAATAGTGTGGTGTTTCCGATGTAATTAATCTTTCGATAAAGAACTGGTATCAAATTTTAAAATATAATTAAAGCCATAACCCAATTCTCTACTCAAAATCACTAAGAGATAAATTGCAATCCCATGCGTATTACATCAAGAACTAAGGAACTAACCAAATAATGTATAGACATCCCAACAAATCTTACACAAAGAAAAAGAGAGAAGGCGAAATATCAAAAGAATCGACTGCTCAACACTCATCAAAGCATACATCACTGAAATTGCTTCATGCTCTTACGTTATGAAATTTATGGCATAGTGTAAGATCAAACCAAAAGGAAAAACTAACAAACATGAGATATCAATTCCTTGACCAGGGAAAGACAAAGTTAATAATTAAACGGAAACATACTCATAAGAGAAAACAATGGAAATCAGCAGACCTGATCATTGACGCTCAACAGCCACTTCTGTTGTAGAGCCAGCCACCTTTCATTTTGCCACCGCTGCCCAAGTAACACAAGCCCCGTCACAGCCGCTGCTATGAAAATAGACCAAACTGCATTAGCTTCTTTTGCATGAGAATACAAGGAAGCAGCTCTTCTTTTCCACCAAGCTCCACATGGCAGGCGAGAAACACCAAATTCATCATCTTTAAGAGACCTTGGGGATTGCGGGCTATCCTCAGAGAAACCTAAACCTTGCTCTGAAGGTTCATTAAGTCCAGGAATAGCGGGGCTCTCACCATAATCAGCTAAGCCGCTCAGATCTGTTTCACCGTCAAAATGATATATAGCAGCATCCATTATAGTCTGGTCTTTGTCAGCCGAAGTTAACCCTTCTTCAAACACTGTATCACCAATCAACTGCATGTTATCCTTATCAGTTACAGACTGTTTCCCCACAAACTCATCTGGAGCATTCAACCCTTTCAAAGTCAAAGTTTCTTCCTCCTTTCCACTGGACCTACCTTCTTCTTCAATACCTATCTCAGCTAAGACATCCTTGTCCACACGTTCGCTTCTATCAGACTTCAAAGGCAAATTCTCATGCTGACTGGGTGGAAAAGCAAAGTGACCAGACATGAAAAGAGCACAAGAAGTTTCCGCATGCTCACCATAGATATCACTCTTCTCCTCATTGCTCAACTCAATTCCTCCTGGACAAGGAGCAGCAGCATACGTTGACGCTGTAAGTTGTACAACTTCCCATTCATTCCCACGAGCAGTACTTTCCTCCCCCTCCTCATTATCCGCCATCTTACCATGAACAGTACTTTCCTCTCCCTCATCATTATCTGCCATCTTAAAGGACTCGAAGCTTCCTATTTCCCATGTCCAGGGCAAAATTACACACAGATCAACCAACAAAAAACAAAAAACAATCAGAACTCAGTAAAGTGAGATACAAATTAAATCCAATTCTTATTTCTACGACACGAAAATGTCCAGGTCACAACACACTTTTGCAACCAAACACACGTTTCGTTTGAATCACCACGATTAACTAAAATGAATTAAACCAACAACTGAATAAAAATAAAAACTTCGTAGTTCGTACAGAATCTCTTTTGACCTCTAAACATTATTTATTTCATTTCTATCGATACAATCCAAACGAACATAATACTTCACAAAACAAAGTTCTGATGTGCATTCGAAAACCCGAATCGAATATCAAATGACAAATACAAATACATATTTGCAAATACAACAATACTAAAGTGACTTATACTTTTTTTCCCCAATTCCAAACAAATGCAACAATTCCTAACAATAGACACCAACAACTAACACTTAATCGCAATTCCTCAAGAGTTTAATCAAAATCTTTACTCAATAAAACAAGAAACTGAACAATTTGAGCGTGCACAATTGAATATTATTAGCAACCAAACAATCAAATTAAAGCAAAACATGATTCAGTTCAATCAAAACTAGCAAGTAGAACACTAATCAAACACGTAGAGATCAAGAAACGAGCAAAAAAACAACAATCAACGGACAAAATAATTCCCGAAACAAAAAATCGGATTAATATCGATTCGAAGACTCACAGGAAAGCGTAAAGTGATTCGATCTAAAAGGTCCGATCGGGGATCGGAACGACGACGTTCTGTTATGGTCCAAGGTTGAAGATTGAAAACTGTCGAGAAGTGGCGTGGGGAATTTATATGCAGAGAGTTCTCGAGGAATAAAAGAGAGGGAGATGAAGAAGGAAACCGGCGGTAGCGGTAAAGATGGAACCAGACACGTTGGGTGACCAGCTGTAGGAGGTGGGATTAAGATTTGGCCGAGAGTGCGTTTGCGGGAGAGATCTGAGGGTGACCGGTGATAGAAGGTGGGCGGGGGGGTTTGCGTTTGCGTGTGTGCAGAGCGAAGAACTCACCGCGTCACGCCAGTGTTTTGGTTGTTGTGGAGTGACGTCATTGTCAGTTTCTTTCCTAAATTTTATCCATTTCACGTGTCATGATCTTTACATCTGAAATTTACTCACCATATCTATTTTTTCAGAAAGATTTTTAGTATCCACTTTAATGTTGGATTTACCCTATCAAGTATAATCTTGAAATCTTGAAAAAGAAAAAAAAAACAAAAAAATCTTGAAATGAAAGCTAATATAGGACAAGAAATCAAAGATTTACAAAATTCATTGATATTTTAAAAATAATAACATTATTTGACAAATTCTCATAAAAAGACAAAAAAAACCATAATCGGGTAAACTGTCTCCTAGCTAATAAGGTAATCCGAATATAATTCCCATGGTAAAAATTAAGGATTTAAACCCTCATAGCGTAGTCCGTTAGCATATTTAGTCCAAAAGTAATTTTTTTTCATCAAAGTACCTGTTTATCCTTGCATTTAACGGAAAAAAAAATTAAAATTAAACTGAAAAATATGAGTCATCTGAATTTGAGATTTTTTAATTAACAAATGATGTTATATACTTGAAATGAGTAGGGAGTGGTATAAGCATCACAATAAGATAGCTATAATGTGGTTCATATTCACTTTTGACGATTATTGAATTTAAGATCTCTCACTTATAAATAAATAAAATATTATTAAATCGCAATACTAATTCGTTTTAGAATATAAGAAAAGATTTTACGTTAGTCTCAACTTCGTGGGGCCAGGCGCATATGAATGATTGCTTCCCTAATTCGTTTATATTTTTCTTTTTCCATTTTACTTTTCCATATAATCTTAAGTGGGTTGTATGATGAGTCTATCCTCAATACCCCACCATACTCAATCATTGCTCCTCGGTGGTGACACCTCCTCACCTCCACCTTTCTTAGTCGTTTCATAGTGTGATACATCCCAGTGCAAACGGCATGTCGTTCGGAGTTGGGTACTCAAAGGCCGGCCACGCTTCAATCTAAATGGACCTATATTGGAAGGCCTAACGGGGCCCAGCCCAGTAAAAGCCCATCTAGAAAATACCGAGAAGAACAATCCCCAGCTACCTTTAGTCCTCCGACCAGAGACTGGGAGGAGAGGGAGAGAGAAATGGGAGTACTGTGTTTGTATTTTTTTTTTTATTTTATATAAAAGCTTAAAAATGTTTACTTAATTAATTTGATTGATTTTTTTGAATGGTGGTTGTGAAACGTGTAGGCCACTAAAGTCAGACGGCCAACTCTCTTCAACGGTGTGGATTCGGCTTTGGAGGATTAGGTTCTTGAGCAGATGTACACAGTAAGTCCTCCATGTTCCCATTTTCTAATTTAATAGAATCATTTATGCATGGTCAAAATTGACAGTATGATAACTTAACATGTTACATTGTGGGACATCAGAGTTTATATTGATTAGTTCGAGTTATGTTCATGGAGTCGTCGTTGACTCTCTGGCAACATAACATGCTTGACTATCGAACAAGGGAATATTAATCCACGTTTATTAATTATCAAACGTACATGCTTGATTCTGTGACAGCAAAACAATTATGTTCCCTAACATTAACCCACGTCTAAGACGTAACATGCTAGACTGTCGAACAAGAGAATATTAACCCGTGTTTAAATGAAGGAGGAACATAATCAATTATGGTACATGGCAGGTGAGACCTGTGGTGGAAACTGGGTATGAGAACCTGCTACTGGTGAGGTTGCTACTGGAAATGAGGATGCCTTCAATAAGGGAGTCCTCGGTTGCGGAAGGGCTCACCGTGGAGGGGATACTGGAGAAGTGGTCGGAACTGAAGCCGATGATTATGGCAGAATGGGGGGAAGAAAGGGATGCTCTTATTCATCTTTTGGGAAGGTCAGGGATGAATGGATGGATGAAGACTTGACAACTTGGATTGGTGCAAATAGGTACCCGAATTTCGGACTTATCTCGTTGTGATCAATTTTTGTTTAGCATATATTCAAGTCCCGTCGCACACTTGTTGGGACGGGGAGAGCTCAATGCATAACTGAGTAGGAAATAATTTGACTGCAGATTATATCCAGGTGTTCCTGATGCTCTGAGATTTGCAAGCTCAAGCATGTACAGTCACCACAAAACTGGTGTGGTCCTTACATACGCATCATCTATGGCATCAGAAATTTCGGGTTTTCCTTAAGAGAAAGAAAATCTGGAGGCATACAATTCAAATTAAGACTTTGAAATGTTGAGACTGCTGAACATTTTATGTTGGTCAAAACATAATAAACGAGCGTTTTACAGACTTACTTCTTGGAGAGTACAGTTCTCTGTTTCGCCCCTGTCAATCTCTCGCCTCCTCATTTCCCCATTCTTCTTTTGCACAGGCCAGACTTGCTGATGCTTTGCTGCGAGAACTTGCAGGAGTTACAATACCGCCCGAAAAGATATTCAGTCTTGGAAGTGGGTTAGTGTATATTAAGTCAATGTTAATCTGTGTTTCGCATTTGGAACCAATGCCTGCTGTTTGCTTTCCATAATGTGAAACTTTAAGTACGAATATGCACTCTTATACGAAGTATTGAATTCGTGTTCTCTTACAGTCCCAAGGTAGAAGTACTGAAGCAACTTCAAAAGAAACCAGAGCATCAGGGGCTGAAACTGCAGTAAGATACTTCCCAGCTTAATATTTAATTTAATCTAACATGTTCTAACCGAGCTTAAGTGAACAAGATCAATAATAATTGACGTTGACCAGCTTTGTAGAGGACCGGTTGGCAACCCTAAAGAATGTCATCAAAGAACCTGAATTGGATGGTTGGAATTTGTATCTAGGTAAAATTTCTCCGTTCATATTCTTCTCCCCTGAGCCTTATCAAACATTGACACATAAACTCGTCTGAGCTTCAGTTGCTAATTGGGAATTGGATCAGGGAATTGGGGGTACAATACACAGAAAGAGAGGAAGGAAGCACAGACAATTCCTAGGATTCAGATTGTCGAGCTTTCTGACTTCAGTAAGAAGTTGAAGTAGCTTCTGTTCATGAGAATCTTCTTCCCTATTCGGTTGTGAATGTATCAATTCATTTAAACTGCAAATGGCTATATCTTCGTTGTTGGAAACTTAGAATGTTAAGTCGGAAATTTTTATGTATCTTGTCTATTTGCAAACAACAAATTCATAAATGAAAACAGAATTCCGATAAATAAAGCTCGTCTACACTTACCAGTTCCAACATCATTAGGATTGGTGGTTGCTATGGTGTTACAAAAGGGGTTATTATATTTTCATGTCAGAAGAGAAAACTTACCGGTAGAACTACAATTCCTCCTTCGAATGTGTATCGTTCTCTGGTGGACTATCACTCTCCTTTCTCTTTTTCTCATTCTGGAGCTTCTCAACGAGTTTCTCTAAAGGAGGATCTCCAGGTCTTCGAAAAATTTGATCGCCAATCTTTATCTCATAGGCCTCTGGTTGGTTCAATGCAAAATCCTTCAACTGGAGAATTGAGAAAAGAATGAACGATGTAACATTATTAAGAACAAACAAACACAGAAGCTCATGACATGCAATAATCAACTCGATCGCTCAAACACAGAATTCATGAGCATAATTGGCATGCAGAACCGGGCTCTAATGGAACAGCTAAGCTATCCTCGAGACATCAAACGTTTCTCTTTGTTGTGAAAATTACTCTTAAGAACCCAAACACATCTAAAGAAAACTTTCTTCAGCCGGATGCAAGGGAAATTAATACTTTTCAGTCTGGAGGATAAAAAAGCCAGGGTGGGAGGAAACTGTACCTCTGTCGTGTCTTGGCCTCTTTCCATGGTGAACATGATCGTGTTTAGATCAACACCCATGAACCTTGCCCCAATCGCTCCGGTCCTCAGAACTTGAGTCCATTTCATAGCAAGCTCAGCCACCGTATCCTGGGAGGGGGAAAAGAAGCACTTATCAACTTTGCCATTCATTCCAAGCCGTATCAAAAATCATTCAATCACATGGAAAACCATCAGAAGTTGAAAAGAAAATATAAACAGAAGTCATTTCTATCACCTAGAAGTCCATTACATCAACTCAGTTTACACTATAACGCAACTGCAGAGTACAGATGCGTACGAAAAAGGGACTGAAACAAGAACTAGAAACATAGAATATAACTAGTGTGCAATTCATGGTTTCTAATCAACCCGAAAATTTCAGTACTGAATTCTGAGCAGCAGGGCGTGTTCAGCATTATCAGTACTTTTCACACATTCGTCCCAATTGGTTAAAGATAGTGTGCTTGTGCAAATGGGGGTTACGCCAATTGGTCAGGGTCCCAAATCCAAATCTCCGTCCCGTAGATTAGAGTAGTTTAGAACATCACTTTAAGTATTACATACACCCTGTTCTAATTCAGAATCAATTCACAAAAGTCCCACAGTCCAAATCCAAATCAGAACTTTCATTTAACTTCTCAATCCCATTTGATCCACATCCATGCTCAAACATTCATCTTACTTATTAAACTAAAATTACCAAATTTAATTTCCCAAGGACGAATCATTCGATCAGAAACAAAACCCAATAGCAAAATCCACATACAGCTCACATTCAGCTAGAAAACCAATAGCAAAAATGCGGAGCGATTTCGAATTACCCGAGTCCGTTTCTCGCCCACCCGGAGCTTCACGAACCCGAAAGCCGGCCCGGTCTGCCGCTTCATCATCTCCGCCTGGATCTGCGACATGTCCATCTTCGACAGATCAGGAGGCGGATCGAAATCGGAAGAGGGTGTCGATTTCTTGCCCCATTCTTTCCAGGTGTCGTCCTCCTCGTCGTCGACTACGTCGTCCAGGTCGTCGGTGATGTGGACTCTCCGCTTTCCCGCCTCGGCTAACCGGACGAATTCTCCATTTGAGGAAAAGATGAAGGGTAGAATGAGGAGGAGGAGGAGGGCGAGGAGAATGGGAACTGGAGGTGTCGGGTTTGCCATGCTTTGTGTGAAGATTTGGAGAGGGAACAGTACTTCGGATCTACGTCTTCTTTGTTTTTTTTTTTTTAATTGTTTGCATATTTTTTGGGGGGAAATAGCAAAGAGCATGATTTGATGAACATCTTTACATTTGACCCCCAATATATATATATAAAATGTGCTGATCACATATACGAATGGAAAAGGATCATTTTCCTAGGGATCCTAAGACATCTACAACCGAAGGATCTAGAGGATTAAAAGGCTGAAAAACGTCCGAAAATTGTCTCCAACCGAAGGCTAGGCTAGAGGGCTCGTGGGCCCCATGGAATCTGAAAGAGCCAAAGGACCAACCGACTAACCCAATCCAGCCAGCCCCCGGTTGGGCCAGAAATTTGAGCATTTCTGTCGAATATAACTGATAGTAATGTAATATATTCTTGTCGGTTATATCCGACAGGAATGCTAGGTCAAAATTTTAAATACAACAGCTAGCTAACGTTAGCTAGCCTGTTTTTTTTTTTTTTATAAAAAAAATTTTCCCATAACTTCTATTTTACAAAATTTGTTTCATATTTTTTTCCTATAACTTCCTAAGCCATTATACAACATTAAGTTAAGTAACATAAAACAACATTAAACAATATGAAACAACATTAAATAACATTAACCAAGTTGTAGTTTTTAAATTTAATTTGTAGTTTTTAAATTTAAGTTGTAGTTTTTAAACATAAGTTGTAGTTTTTTAAATTTAAGTTATTGTATTTTTTAATTTAAGTTGTTGTAGTTTTTAAATTTAAATAATAAATTATGTTTGGCCCTATGACCCTCGGTTGGAGACGGTTTTTTGTGACAGAGCTAAAACAAGCCCTATGGCCCTTTGGCCCTCGGTTGGAGATGGAGGCAAATACAGCCATGTATTGTTCATTAAATATTAAGGTCATCTCTAACCGAAGGGTCTAGAAGGTCAAAGGGCTGAAAAACGTCCGAAAATCGTCTCCAACCAAGGGCTAGGCTAGAGGGCTCGTGAGCCCCACGGAATCTTAAAGAGCCAAAGGACTCGCCCAATCCAACCAACCAACCAGCCCTGAGCTGGCTAGAAATGTGAGCATTCCAATAGATATAACCGACAGGAATATGTATATTCCTGTCGGTTATATCCAACATGAATGCTAGGCCAAATTTTGAAGTGCAACGGCTAGCTGATGTCAGCTAGCCGTTATTTTTGATTTTTTTTTTTTTACAATTTTATTTATTTTTTTATTTACAAATTTTTTTTTCCCTATAACTTCTGTTTTTAAATTATATTTTTTTCTATAATTTCCTATAAGTTCTATTTTACAAAATTTGTTTCATATTTTTTTTAAGAGTAAACTGTCAATTTACCCCCTGAACTTTCACCTAACTTTCGATTTCCCCCCTAAACTTTTATATTGGAAAATTAAGGACTCAAACTAATTTTTTTGGCCAATTTAACCCCTACCGTTAGTTTTTCATATATTCCATCCATATTTCTGTTAAGTGAGTCCATGTGCACAACATGTGAGGGTAGTTAAGTCATTTCACTCTTAAAAATGATTAAAAAACTGAAAATAAAAAAAAAAAAAAAAACAAAACTTTCCCTCTATTTTTTCCCTCTAATTCCTATCCTCAATTTTATTTTTCACTCTCATTCCTATGCATGAGATAATTACATACTTTTCATAATGTCATAATGATCCCAATATAATTCCACTAAATGATCCTTAAGAAGTTGGAAAACATGACACCATCAACCTTACTCAACCATCAGAAATGAAAAAAGGTTTAGGTACAAGATTCCAACCAAACGAAGGAAGGCCCTGGAAAGTGTAGTTGATCTCCACGTGTCATGTGTGTTTTGAGCAAAATGTTTGTGCTCTTGTTTTGATAACTAAAACCTTATTTTGCTTGTGTTTGGTTAAGTGGAATGCCCATATTTTGTAATCGAGATTCTATGGGCTATATACCTTATGGATGGTAAAATCTCTTACGTTTTCCAACTTCTGAATGATCATTTTGTGGAATTGTATTGAGATTACTATGACATTATGAAAAATATGTAATTATCTTGAGCATTTTTTATGAGTATTATGAGCATGTTTCTTATATTAATGCACTGCTTTGGAGACAATAACACTATGAACATTTGTCAAATTATTAATTTGTTAGAGAAAATAAAAATGGTAGTACATACTTCAAGAAAAATACTAACTTAGCTACTTATGAAGACAATAACACCATATATCATTTCTCATGCATAGGAATGAGAGAGAAAAATAAAATTGAGGATAGGAATTAGCGGGAAAAAATAGAGGGAAAGTTTTGTTTTTTTATTTATTTTCAGTTTTTTAATCATTTTTAAGAGCGAAATGACTTAATTACTCTCACATGTTGTGCACATGGTCTCACTTAACAGAAATGTGGATGGAATATATGAAAAACTAATGGTAGAGGGCAAATTGGGTAAAAAAATTAGTTTGAGTCCTTAATTTTCCAATAGAAAAGTTCAAGAGGGAAATCGAAAGCTAGGTAAAAGTTCAAAAGGTAAATCGACAGTTTACTCTTTTTTTAAGTTCTATTTTTTTCCTATAACTTCTTTTTTTTTTTTTTCTTACGTCACTTAGGCGTTGGAATTGAATTTAAGTTGTAGGTTTTAAATAGGTCCAGGCCCCCACCATATCCTGGACTCGACTCCACCGTAGCACGATATTGTCCACTTTGGGCCCCAACCACGCCCTCGTGGTTTTGTTTCTGGGACTTCCCAGTGGGTTACCCATCATGGGAATGCTCTCGCCCGAGCTCGCTTAACTTCAAAGTTCCCAGAAACAAAACCTTGAGGGCATGGTCGGGGCCCAAAGCGGACAATATCGTGCTATGGTGGAGTCGAGCTAGGGATGTGGTGGGGCCCTGGCCGGGATGTGACACTATAGCCATTTGGCCTTCGGTTGGAGATGGTTTTTTTGTGACAGGACTAAAACGAGCCTTATGGCCCTTTGGCCCTCGATTGGACATGGAGGCAAATATGGCTCTGTACTGTTCAATCAAATATTAATATCTTGGAGGGCCAGAGGGCTAAAATGAGCCCTCGGTTGGAGATGGCCTAATATCTTGAAGGGCCAAAGGGCTAAAATGAGCCATCTAGTCAGCCTTCGGTTAGAAATGGCCTAAGAATCCTATGATAATGACCATTCATTGTACACCGTGCGGTCAGAAATCATTTCAAAATTTAAAATTTATAATTAAATATAAATAGTACCTAACGAAAACTGACCGCACGATGTACGATGAACGGTCACAATCACCGGATCCTTTTCCTATACGAATGAGTGATATTCATTTTCATTCGTAAGTAAGAGCTTTTAGGTTTAAATCTTGTAAATTGTAAATTTAATAGTGTTAAATAAGAGTTTTCTAATCACACTTCCACTACACATTTACACTATGTTTAGATGAGGCAAATAGTCACTCAATACTACGGTCTGGTGATATTCCTTTTTACTTAGAAGTGAGAGTTCTTAAGTTCGAATCTCATAGATGACGAATTTGACACCAAATTAGGTTACCCATTGTTTTGATTCATAATACTTAGAATTTATGCTGGAAAATAAACTTGGAATTTGGGACCTCCAATTCCCAAGTTTAGATTCTATATAAATAGGTGATATTTTTATAAATTTTTATGAGTGAGAGTTTAAAAATAACAAATGTATGTATTCAAACGCCATTGTTTTTTTGGGTTAACCAAACAGAAAATTGACAAATTCTAAAATAAGAAAATTTCATAATTTCAATTTCCGTCATTTTAAAATTTCTTAGTAAGGGGTGTTTTCAATTAAGATTTTGAGGGATTTTAATTATTTTAATGAATCTAAGGGTGCGTTTGTTGTACCGGACTATCTCGGACTGGAATAGCTTTAGAGACTAACTTGGACTGCTTAAACTAGACTAAGCTGAACTAACTTAGTGAAGTATTTGATACATATTTAGTAATATTTTATTACTACTACTGTCTATTTTTTTTTTCATTCTAGAAACCTCCCATTTCCATTCCCAATTCTTTTCCGCTAATCCCCATTTTTCTTCCTAATTTTGCTATGTCCCTCTCTGTGTTTCTTTCTAATTTTTCTTCATCTCTCTCGCTCTTCATCTCCATCTTTTTCTTCCTATTTCTCTCCATTCATCTTCCTCTTTTCTTCCTAATGTTGTTGGGACCCAATTAGCAAATCAGAACCCAAATCAAAGTCTAGGTCACCCGGGTATTAATGGGTTTGCTTCTCTGGCGTCAATGGCGAAGGTCTGCAATCAAAGAGTTTGGACTAGGTGCACTGTGATTAGAGCGATTGTTGTGCATTTCAAACGCTAACGATTTTTGTAAACTTTTTTTTTTTTTTTGGTTTAGAATTTTGGATTTGGATCTGGTTTTGAAAATGGAAATATTGCATAATTTTTTGTCTTTTTTGTTTTGAATTTTGCAGGATCTGGGTTTGGAAATGGTAGATGAGAGGGGTGAAGCAGGGCATAGTTTGTATATGGCACCTGGGTTCAGAATCTTGTGAGGAAAAAGTAGATGGGAGGGGTGAAGCGAGAAGGGACAAAGCAGGGAAGAGTTGGCTTTAGCAGTCCAGTTGATATCGGGTGGTCTCGCTAAGACCCTTTAGCAAAGTTCTTAGTCTCGTTTAGTCGAGGCGGGTCTCATTAAAGCTTGTCCTGGTTTGTATCAAACACGGGACTAGATTGCCACTTAGTCTAATCCAGTTTAGCGAATGCTAATAAATGCAAACAAACACACCCTGAGTATATTCTATCAAAATTTTAAATGATTCTTTGAAATTTAAAGGGTATTCAATCAGGATTTTAACATAGTTTATTAAAATCCTTAGAAATCCGGATGTATTCATTTAGGATTTTAAATAAGTTTATAACATTTCAGGTGACACACCCCGATCGAAATCAAGGCGTGCTGGCCGTCACGTGAGGATGACGTAGCCATGTGCACAATGCGGAAGCAAAAGATAATAATAAAAGTACGAATAAATAAAAACCAAACTACTAAATAAACTAATTATAGTAATACACTAGTGTGAGACTA